AACATATTTAAAAAAACTATTTCATATTACTTATTTAAAAAATGAAAAAAGAACAAAAAATAATTAATAAATATGTACTATTTAGTGGGAATTATATTATATTATCGGTTGTTACATAGAAATTATTGTCGATAATTTTTTCTCCTTATGATTAAAAGTAAAAAACCCAGCACAAGGGGGTCACGGCACAGTGTTGACGTGGAGTTGGATCAAGTATAATGATATCTGACAGTGATTAAAATTACTATAAAAAAAAAACGCTTTGGTGCAAATCTTTAGATTGTGTTTAATTTANACAGTGATTAAAATTACTATAAAAAAAAAACGCTTTGGTGCAAATCTTTAGATTGTGTTTAATTTAAAAAAAATTGGTGTATTATTCCAAAAGCTACATGATCTGTTAGTTCCTTATTAATATCCTGATTAAGATAAAGTATGTCGAATGAAAAAGGGATAATTAAAAAATACTACTTCTCATGAAAAAATTGTATTGATCCATATACTTTACAATAAGTTATAGCATTATAAAGTTAAACATTTTAAAAATAAAATCGAGAATATTCATACAAAAATAGCATTTGGCAGCCATTTTCACCGTAAAGACTAAATAAAAAATTTTCTTTTTTTTCATAATTTAGTACATTACCTTATTTTTAATTTAAGATGTATATTAAAGTGTCAGACTTTCCAAAACACTTTCAAAAGTTAATTATTTGTGAAAAAGTTTTTAAATCCCCCCCTGTGGGCAGGCAAAAGGTCAGATTTAAAAAAAATATACCAAATGAAAGACATCATGCATCTATAAAAAAAAATTATTATATCGATTTGGTTATTTTTAAAAAAGTTATGGCAGTTTTAATTAACAAAAATTGAAAAAATTTCGAAAATTAGCGATTTTTAAATTTGTAATTTTTTTGGAGGTTTACCCCATTTACGGGGAACGAGAGAAATGTTTTTCAATTTTTGAGGGTAATTTCTTCGACTAGATACAATTTGTGATCAATTGACGTATCGTTGAAAGTTATCGGTTCGATGAGAGCTGAGAAATAGTGGTAACAAATCCAAAAAAAAACCTTCTCAGAATCGCATCGATGCATTTTTTGTAAAAAAATTCGTTTTTACATTTTTTTAACTTTATAATGCTATAACTTTTTAAAAAATGTTGGGATCATTATAATTTTTTTAAGATAAGTATTATTTATATTCTTCTTTTATGCGACATACTTTTTTTTTAAATAGAACCATTTCCCTTTATATATTTAAGTATTATAAATATATATTTATATATTACATTTATATATGATAAAACAAAAAACAGTATATAAACAAGGATATAGTAGATCATGTAACTTTTGGAATAATCTACCAATTTTTTTAAAATTAAACACTATCTACATATTTGCATCGAAGTGTATTTTATCAAAGTGATTTTAATCACTCACAGATATTATTTATACTGAACCCAACTATGCCACGTCCTCACTATGCCGTGACCCCACTGTGATAGGTGTTTTTTTATAACTTAGTTGCAAGATAAATAATAATCCTAACATATTTACTAATTTTTATTTCACTTAACTAGTTTAAGAAAATTTACCTTTTAGCTTTGATGCGCAGCTGAGAAGGTATTAATTTTACTATGTGGTTTTTTTTTTTGTGTCTGTTGCCACTTTTTCTCAATTCTCACCGAACTGATTTCTTTCAATGATAAGTCAAAAGATTACAAATCGTATCTAATCGAAGACATTACCTTCAAAAATTGAAAAAAATTTTCCTCTTTCCCGGAAATGGGGGAAACCTCCAAAAAAATTACAAATTTAAAAATCGCTTATTTTCGAAATTTTTTCAATTTTTTTTACTTAAAACTGCTATTACTTTTTCAAAAATAAACAAATTAATATAATTTTTTTTTATAGATGCTTAATGTTTTTACCTATCATTTGGTATATTTTTTTATAAATTTGATCCTTTATCAACCCACAGGGGAGATTTAAAATAACAGCTTTTCCAACATAATTTCATAAAGTGTTTCAGAAATACTGAAATTTTTATATATATCTTAAATTAAAGCTTATGTAATATACTTTAATATTAAAAAAAAAAATTTCGGACTTTATTTTGTCTTCACGGTAAAAATCTCTACCATATGCTATTTTTGTGTTAAAATCCTCGATTTTATATTTTACATTTTTAACTTTAAAATAATATAACTTTTTGAAAAATGTATGGATCAATAAAATTTTTTTATAAGAAATAATATTTATATACTTCTTTCATTCGACATACTTTTTTTTTAAATCGGACCTTAATACAAGGGGGATTTAAAACATAAAAATGCATATAGAAAGTAGAACTTTTTCAACTTAATCTTTGAAAGTGTTCCGGAAATACTGATACTTTTATATATATCTTAAATTAAAGCTTATGTAATATACATTAATATTAAAAAAAAAAATTCGGGCTTTATTTTGTCTTCATCGTGAAAATAGTTACCGTATTTAAAAATATGCTATTTTTGTGTTAAAATTTTTGGTTTTGTCTTTTATTTTATTATAGGAGGATTAAACTGATTTTCATAAATATTATATCAATCTAATTAACATAGTATAAAAAGTTCAACATATTTAAACTTTTATGTTTCTTTGAAGTCGAGATAATTTTAAAAGTTGAACTAGCTAAATTTCTATTTTTATTAAGTGACGAATGCGACGTACGGTTTTTGAGACGGTAACACTTGAGTCTTTCACGCCTGTGGCACTGAATTTTTTCTAAAATCTTTTTGAGTTAGAAAAAAATGTTTAATTCATTTGATTTTTATCTTATTTAGATTCAATAACTTCAATAAATAACAAGGATCCCATTACTGTAGTCTCCTCTCGTGAGAAGAAATTCATATTAATATTATTTTACTATGTGGTTTTTTTTGTAACTATCATTTATTTTCTTAGCTCCCACTTGCACTACTTTTTTGATAATTTTTTTTTTTTAATTAAACACTATCTACAGATTTGCATTGAAGCGTTTTTTATGATAGTGATTTTAATCACTGTCAGATATCATCTATACTGGACCCAACTATGCCACGATCCCATTATGCCGCCATTCCACTGTGCTGGGTTTTTTTAAGCAACATTAATTTTCTAAATATTTGTGGGCATATTGTTTTTAGGGCTATATAAAATAAAATATTGTCATTATGTTTTGTTCTAAAATGATAAGTATTTTAGTTTTTAGAATATAGATATATTTTTATCATAATAATTTTATTATGCTAGTACTTAAGTGACAAATAATAAGTGATTGGGAATTTTAACAATAATGAAAACTATAACAGTATAAAAGTACTAATTTTTATAAAAAGATTAAAGATAAAT